ACCCATAACCGAATTTGAGGCATGTAGTGTAATTCTAACATCACGATCAGCTCATTACTCTATGAAGTTTAATCTTTGCATCAAATCTGCTAAATTAACTTTTCAAATTTTAATGAAGAGGTCAGCAAATGTTTTTAAAGTTCCCAAAATGTTTTCAATGTTCATTTTCAAAATTTCTTATCTATTTTTAAATATAATGACGAAATTTTCATCATCATTACAAAAAGTATGATGTCAACAACTCCGAAATTCAATGATGAAGACACACGGTTTTCATTCATATAAAACCCATTGAACGATATTCTTGAAAAAAACAAGAATTTGCAAACAAGCAATTCAACTAACAATTCTAATAACTCAAACAAAATGGACTTTTTCAAAAAGATTGGTCAATTCTTCTCTGGATGGCTCAGAGGTTTATTCGAAAATAAGGAAGCCAAGATTCTATTCCTTGGTTTGGATGCAGCTGGTAAAACTTCAGCTCTATATAAGATTCAATTAGATGAAAATGTTAGCACTATTCCCACCATTGGTTTCAATGCTGAAGTGTTACAATATAAGAAGGTAACTTTCAGAGTGTTTGATATTGGTGGCCAGGATAAGATTAGAAAGTTATGGAGACACTATTATCAATCGACAAATGCTATCATTTTCATTGTCGATTCTAATGATACTGAGAGATTTAAAGAAGCTGCCGAAACCTTACGGGAAGTTATGCAGGATGATTTATTGAAAGATGCCAAGTTATTGGTGTGGGCTAATAAGCAAGATTTGCCAAGAGCTGCCAATGTTAAAGATATGGTCAATACTTTGAAATTACACGAGATTAAGCAAGAATGGTACATCCAACCATGTAGTGCCCTGTCTGGCAATGGATTATTCGAAGGTTTGGATTGGTTATCCAGTAAATTGTAAATAAACACTTTGATATCTCATATTTCAAACTTGTCAAATAGGATTTCATCATATTAGCCTCCAACCAATCTAAACACCATGACTAATTTAGAATTACTGTTAATTTCTAATTCTTGCAAAGTTTTTTCATCATCTTCCATTGACATCACTTTCGAATTGTGAATTATTCTAAATTCATTTCCAATGTTCCACTCCTCAGCCACCCTCCAACGTA